AAACTGGAAAACATAATTGAAGAGTAACGAAAAAAATTAAAAGCTATTATGTGACAAAGGATATTATCAACAAAGTGAAAAACAACCTACTGATGAAGCAAACCTATTAACAAAGGCCTGGTATACAGAATATATTAAAATCTCTAGGCTGTGCTCAGTGCCTGACACCTGTAATCCCAGCACTTTGGGAGCCTAAGGTGGGAGGATCACTTGAACCCAGGAGTTCAAGGCTGCAGTGAGCTGACTGGGTCACTGCACTCCAGCTTGGGTGACAGGGTGAGACCACCGTCACTTAACCCATTTCTTGTTTAGAAAAAAAAGTGCAGCAGTGCAGCTCACTGCCAGCACAGTATTCTTTGAGCAAACAAGAAGAGAAATGGAGGAAAAAAAAAAACTCTTACAATTCAACAACAAAAAGAAAAACAAGAATGTAAAGAGACATTTTTCCAAAAAAGATATACAAATAGCCAACAAGTGAAATGATGGTTAACATCATTAGTCATTAAGAAAATGCCAATAAAATCATAATGAAATAAGACTTCATATACATTAGGATGTCTATAATTTAAAAAATAGAGAATAACAAGTGGTGGTGAAGATGTAAAGAAATTAGAATCCTGTCCATTGTTGGTGGGAATGTAAAATGGTTCAGCCACAGTGGAAAACAATTTGGCAGTTCCTTAAAATGGTAAACATAGAATTACCATATGATCTAACACTTCTACTCTTAGGTATATAGACAAAAAAATTGAAAACAAGTACCCAGATACCTTGCATGAGAAGGTTCATAGCAGCACTATTACAAAAGCCACAAGTTGGAAACAACCCAAATGCCAATCAATAGATGAGGGGATAAAAAAATTGTGGTTTATAGAGCCACAAAAGGGAATGAAGCACTGGTACATGCTGCATGGCTAAACCTCGAAAGCAAGGGCTGGGATGGGGGCATGGAAAGTAATAGCTTACCGGGTACCACATTGTATTTTGGGGCAATGAAAATGTTTTGGAACTGGATGGAGGTGGTGGTTGCCATGTACTACATAAAACTACTTGTTCACTTTAAGATGGCTAATTTTCTTATGAGAATTTCTCAATTATAAAATACCTTCCATGTATTCTTTCTAAGGATGACACTAGAGTTCATTGAGTATCAGATACAGAGGTTTGCTCTGGAAAAATGAAGTAGTAATTTTTTTGAAAAAGGATGATGTGGGATTCAAGATATGGGGGATCAAATGTCAGAGAAGCAAGGGGATCTTCTGGATGACAGTCCATGGAGATCCCATGACAGCTGGACAGCAGGCCAGCTGTGTACCCAGGACCAGCCAGAGCAGGGATGATGGCTCCCAAGAAGCTCTAAGAACATTGCTAGATGGCCTAATGGGTTTGTGGGCATATTGAAAAGGTTTATAAAACTGAGAATTTGGAGTAGAATTAGAAAAATGACATAAAAGCTTACAGAAAAGAAAATAATAAATTCTAGGGAGAAATATAAAAGTATACTACATGCCTCAGTTATAAATAGCATTTTCATAGTCATGAAGAAATATGAACACTGAATATTTACTTAACCAAAATTACAATATAATTATACAATTAGGTACATATAGCAAAAGGATGTGTGTGTATATGTAGTATGTATGGTGTTTGTGGTGTGTGCGTGGTATGTGCACGGTGTGTGTGTATGATGTGTGTATGGTGTGAGGTGTGTGCAGTGTGTGTGGCATTTATTGTGTGTATGTGTATGTACAGTGTGGTATGTAGGTGGTTATGTGGTGCATATGGTGTGTCTATGAGAGTGTGTTGTGAGTGTATAGTACGTGTGTGAGGTGTGTGGTGTACGTGGTGTATGTGTGCATAGTATCTATATGGGGTGTGTGGTGTGTAAGGTCCTTGTGGTGTGGTGTGTGTGAATCTGTGTTGTGTATAGTGTGTTGTATGGTATATGTGTATGCATCGTGTCTGTGGTGTTATGTGGTGTGTGTGTGCGTAGTATATATGGGATGTGTGTGCATGTGGCATGTGTGTAGTATGTGGTATGATGCTGATGGTGCATTAAACGGAGTTAAATCCTAATATTCCCAGCTGGGAAGTCTATAGGTGTGTTAGTCCGTTCTCACATTGCTATAATACCTGAGACTGGGTAATTTATCAAGAAAGCAGGTTTAATTGGCTCACAGTTCTGCAGGCTGTACAGGAAGCACAGGCTTCTACTTCTGGGGAGGCTCTAGGAACCTTCCAATCATGGCGGAAGACAAAGTGTGAGTAAGACGCAGATGGCGGCTAGGCGCAGTGGCTCACGCCTGTAATCCCAGCACTTTGGGAGGCGGAGGTGCGCGGATCACGAGGTCAGGAGATTGAGATCATCCTGGCTAACACGGTGAAACCCTGTCTCTACTAAAAATACAAAAAATTAGCGGGGCATTGTGGCGGGCACCTGTAGGGAGGCTGAGGCAGAACCCGGGAGGCCGAGCTTTCAGTGAGCTGAAATCGCACGGCTGCACTCCAGCCTGGGTGACAGAGGGAGACTCCCTCTAAAAAAAAAAAAGAGAGAGAGAAAAAAAAAGATTCAGATGGTGGGAGCAGGAGCAAGGTTGGAGGAGGCGCCACACACACTTAAACAACCAGATTTCCTGAGAACTCACTATCAGGAGAAGAGCATGAGGGGATGGTGCCAAACCATTCATGAGTGACTGCCCTATAAGCCAATCACCTCCCATCAGACCCGGCCTCCACAGTAGGGATTACAAATTGACATGAGATTTGGGCGTGGACACAGATCCAATTCGTATCAATAGGTAATGATTAAAACTGAAAAAAGAAGTACCACGGTCAGAAAGTTATTTAAAGAGTTGAAGGTAAATGCCAATAGGATCAGTTTAAAGAGTCGGAAGTGTTTGCCTCAGAAGAGGACATTCAAGCTTTTTTATACAGCTTTTTTATACAGCTTTTTGACTCTTTAAACTATGCACATACATAAAGTTGATTTTAGAAAACTAAAAATGTTAAAACGTTCCAAAACAGATTGGATGAGTACACACTTCATCATGATTGTGGCTGAAGGAGATTGGGTTAGAGAAGAGAGGATGAGACCAGGAAGTTCCAGGGACTGAGGAAAAGTTGAAATGACGAAATGTTCATAATTGTTAATGGCAGGTTGTGGGAAAGTTAGTAAGTTGCTTCAGTGTTTGTTCACTCTGTACTTTTTCATACATTTAACATTTCTTAAATTAGTATAATAATGAACTATGTAATCAGCTACAGAGTTGAGGGTGTGGAGCTCACCCAGGACAGCTGAGCTACCGGTGTAAAATGAACGGTATTTTAAAAAATGACTTATTCGAGGAATTAACAGAACTAGGACACCCTAGTCAAGGGTTGATAAGGACGGACCCCAGGGCTCTGTCTCAGCTCTCCTGGCCACACTTGGAGGACATGGGCTTCTCCAAGGTCACACTTTCAGTAGGTATTGATGAAGGATATGGAGACACCTGAAGCTCTGGGCGCTGCATGATCTGAGAAGAGAAGCTCCGGGAACGTGGGAGCTGAGTTTCAGATACCTGAGGGCTGTCATCCAGCAGAGGGAGTAGGTGACGACTGGACTAGGGAGGGACCCTTATCAAGGCTACATTCATTGATGGCCTTCTTTGTGTGAGGTGCTGCTATGACATTAAATTTCCACTTACCTAAATCCAATTTTGTGCACTTGTTTTCTACTCTTGTAGGAAGGACAACAGCGACAACCTCAAACCAGTAATCTAGTCAAAAGAGCAATTCCCAAGGCACGACATGTAGGGAATGCAGATTCATCAGCACTCACAGAGACTACAGTGATTGCCGATAATGCCAACTTAATGCCTGGCCAGCAGCATGGATCGTGACCTCCACTTTTCTTTTGTGTTTACAGAACCACAAAAAAGTCCATTGTTTTCATTCTTGTTGCTTGTTTCACAGGTCTACATAATCTACTTTTTAAAGTCAAAAACGGACTTAGTACTGGACAATGAAAGTATAAACTCAGTATAGTGCATAGTATTTTTTTCATATACATATGAATATATATACGCTTTTACACATGTATGCATATGTATCTTATGGGTCAAAACACTAGATGGAATGGAATTTTTTAATTGAAATAATTTCTGGTTATTAAGCATATCAGCTACCTTTAAAGTATTCATTTTACTGTATTTATATTAATTATTGACGCTTGAACTTCAGAATAGTGGAGAATAAAAGTTAAACATCGCAAGAAGATTTCTCCTTTATTACTTCTTTAAATCAGAGAAAAGATATTTAAAGAGAAAATAGGAAGTATCTTCCCCACCCCACATAATTTATGAAGTAAATTATCATACCATAAAGAGACACCAAATAAAATCTGTGGGTCTCAAAACATTAGGAGCACTGCTTCCGTGCAATCAGTTAAAGTACACACCCGTATTGGTCATCCATTGAAACATATTATTTTCCTGAGTAAATTCTCCACAATTCTGAAAATCGGTGAAAAGATCATCTCATGCTACTTCTACACAAAACCAAGCAGCGCATGTGGCTCTCCACGTTTCAGGGCATACACATCCCTTTCCACCAGGGATCAATGTGCCCTACGGGAAGCAACTTCTTGCCTTTTAAACCAGATTCAGTAAACAAAAACTGTTTTGTATAGCTGACACAGGATCACATCGATTGCACGAAAAAGGTCAGTCTGTGGAAGGAAAGTCACAAAGGCAAACAGGGCACGTTAAGGAGGCGTAACCAATCACATTGGATTTTCTGCTGTTGGAATTTTTTTCGGGTCAAAAATACAGGTACTAGGACTCCCTGAATCCAGCAGGTGTTAGAGGAAGGCAGAGGGCGGCCTCCTGCAAAACATCTACCTTTGCCAGTTTCTAATCCAGGGTCCAGAAGCTGCAGCATCCGTGCTCCCCGTGCTTGCGCTTGGAAGCAGAAACGCCCTCAACCCTCACTTCTCACAAGGCCTCCGACCCACCTACCTGGGGCTCAGTCCGGGAGCCAGCGGCTGGACGGGGCGGGGTTGCGCCCTGGAACACCGGGCAGGCGAGGAAGGAGAAAAGCCCAGCTGGCGGCTTAGAGGCGAGGGTCGTGCCTTTCCCAGCGGCCTCGCCCTGGCCATCCTGACCCTGAGGGAAGAGGTCAGCCCAACCGCGCCCCGTCCGCCTCTCCGCCTCCCGCCCCCGCACCGCGCCGCGCCCAAGTCCCAGCCCAGTGCTCGCGACTCCGTGGAGCGCAGGCGACCTGGGTCCAGTCCCGCGGGGCCCCTCGTGCGCTCCAGAAGCATCATCGCATCATCAGTGGTCTCCGGGAGGCCGCGGGCCCGCTGCGGCTCCCACCCTGACGACCCTGGATTGCTCTCCCCATTCTCAGCCTCACCCCCCATACTCCTTCCACCCCATATTTTGCAGCCTCTAAGGACACGAACCATCTGCGGCTGAAGTCGCTTGGACTGAACCCCGCCGAAGATTTTGGCAGCTGCACACTCCCTCCCAGGGAGGTGAGGGCGCCCGGCGAAGTGTGGGGTCTGCCGCCCCCTGCCGGCCTGGCTGACGTTCGCTTCTGTTTCCACGGGGCCCAGCAATGTTCCAAGTGCAACGTTTGGAAGGTAAGGTTGAGAATAAATGCTGTTTACAAATTCCAGAAAAGAAAAAAAAAAAATGTTGCTCTTCTGTTTAGCAAAAGGTTTTCCCAGAGAAGCCAGAACTTCTGTGGGTTGTGTTTAAATCTTAAGTGCATCCGAGCTGTTGCCTGCAGGCGCTGGTATTACCCAGGGGGGTAGTTTCAGGACAGTGTTTCTGAACACTCCAGGCTCTTGGATGAAGCAACCTTTCCACATTAAGTATGTAACATCATGTACTAGGTCCTACGATTTACCCGTCATGCAAAAGGAGCAAGTCTGCAAAACAGGGCTTTTAAAGAGTCTTTTCAGAAGGAAAAAAAATGTTGGAATAGCTGATTCGTTGCCTATTTGTTGTTGACTTTACATCAAAACTGATCCCCTGAAAGGTATTTATAGGTATTAACGATAAATAATGAAAAGGATCAAAATAGGAATGTTTCATTCAGTTTAACCTGGCTCATGCAGTGCACTTCAGGCCCTAGACTCTGGTTTGAACTCTGCGATTTCTACCATTCCTTGGCTTTGTTTGCTTCAGACTGACAGAGTTCTGATCAGAGTTCTGTGAATACAGTAGGTGCTCGATAAATGCTTATTCTGGTTACTGCTATTGATGCCTGTGGCAGTAACTGCAGACCAGCAGGCTCCCACAGCAATGAGGCATGGGGCTGGAGGGCCTGGCTCTGGCATCCAACCCTGCTCCATCTGCCACACTAGCCGTGTGACTTTGGGGAAGCTATGAACCTCTGCTGAACTCTCTATTAATAATGTGAGAGTGGTAGTAATAGCACCTCCCTTATAGGGTTGCAGTGAGGAGTAAATGAAATAACCTGTGTAAAGGACCTAGTGTGGTACCTTGTGTTGTGTAAACTACTCATGGGACAGGGGACTAGTATCCAGAATATACAAGGAACTCAAACATCTCCACAGCAAAAAGTATATATATATATATTAAAATATGGGCAAATGATCTGAATTATCAAAAGAAGACATTACAAATGTGCAACAAGTGTATGAAAATGTGCTCAACATCACTAATCCTCAGGGAAATACAAATCTAAACCACAATGAGTTATTGTCTCATCCCAATAGGATGACTATTGTCAGACAAAAAATAACACATGCTGGTGAGGATGCAGAAAAAAACGGGAACTTTTCTACACAGTTGGTGGGAATTTAAACTACTACTGTAATTCTGGAGAACAGTATGGAGGTTCCTCAAAAAACTACAAATATAAGTACCTTATGATCCAGCAATCTCACTACTGGGCATTTATCCAATGGAACGGAAATCATTGCATCAAAGACTCCTCTGCAGCCCCAGGTTTATTGCAGCACTAGTCACAATAGCCAAGATACAAATCAACCTAGTTGTGTGACTACACATGAATGGACAAAGAAAATAAGGTATATACATACAATGGAATACTATTCAGCCATAAAAAATAATGGAATCCTATCGTTTGCAGCAACATGGATGAAACTAGAGGACAGTATGTTAAGTAAGCCAAGAACACAAAGGTAAACACTCACAAAGGTTCTCACTCATAATGTTGCCATAGGTGGCTATTAAGGTATGAGCAGGTCAGAAGAGAGCTTCCCCCACCACTGCCCCAAACACACACCAGGAGTGTTGCCAACCATCAAGTGATGGTCAGGATGGTTATTAACGGTCTCTCTAAAGTAATAATTGGTCACAGCTGGCACCAGTGAAAAGCAGTCTCCCAAGAGATAGAAAACACCTATCATCAGCAGCTTCCTGATAAGATCTCAGGAATTGGGCAAGTGGGGAGAAGGGACCTGAGACCTCGGAAGCATACCAATGTATAAAACCCCCAAGTCCAAAGGTCAAGGTGCACACTTGCCTTTCAAGTCACCCGCTTGGCCCTATTCCAAGTGCACTTTCCTTCCTTTCATTCCTGCTGTAAAGCTTTTTAATACACTTTCACTCCTGCTCTAAACACTTGCCTCAGTCTCTCCTTCTGCCCCATGCCCCTCAGTCAAATTCATGCTTCTGAGGAAGCAAGAATTGAGGTTGCTGTAGACCCGTATGGATTTGCCGCTGGTAACAATATGTGGCAGCTAAAAAAGTTTATCTCAAAGAAGTAAAAAGTAGAACAGAGGACAGTAGAGGCCTGGAAGGGTGGGGAAAGGGGGAATAGGGAGAGCTCGGTTAAAGGCTACGAAATTACAGCTGGATAGCAGTAATATGTTGTAGTGTTCTATACCACTGTAGGATAAATATGGCTAACTTTATATATTATGAAGTTTCAAGCAACTAGAAAGAGTATATTGAATGTTTCCAACACAAATGAGTGATAAACTTTGAGATGATTGGTGGATATGCTAACTACCCCTCTTCGATCTCTGTACATTGTATGTATTGAAATATCTCTGTGTACTCCATGAACATGTGCAATTATTATTTGTCAATAATTTTTTTTATTTTGATCTCATAGAATTAGAGAGTAGAATGGTGGTTACCAGAGGATGAGGAGGGTAGTCAGGGAGAGGAGAATGGAGAGAGGTTTGTCAATGGGTACAAAGATCCAATTAGATAGAAAGAATAAGTTCTGCTGTTCTGTTACACACTAGGGTGACTATAGTTAATAATTATGTGTTGTATGTTTCAAGATAACTAGAAGAGAGGATTTGGAATCTTCTAAGAAGAAAGGATAAATGTTTAAAGTGAGGGGTATGCTAATCACCCTGATTTGATCCTTATACAATGTATCCATGCACTGAAACATCACACTGTACCCCATAAATATGTACAATTATATGTGCCAATCATAAATAGAACTTCTAAAAGGAGTTTAGTACAGTGCCTAGCGTATAGTGATTAACCAATCGAGTATAGCCATTATTATTATTATTCCTTCCTCCCAGTAGTAAATTACAGTGCAGTGGTTAAAAATAATCACTTGAGACCCAGATATTTGCATTGGAACCTGGCTCTCCCAATTTCCACTGATGTAACTATGGGCAAGCGAGTTTCAATGCTCTGATCTATAAAATGGTAACAACAATAACAGAGAAAAATCTGGTGATTATATCATGGTATGGATAATTCGTAGTGCTGTTGGTGCCTGGCACAGATCCACAAACCTACAATAAGTTATAGCTAGTAGTAAAATAAAAATTCTAAGCAAGTGTATTTAGATTAACCACCAATACTTCATTGTCCCCTGTGGTAATAATGTCTTTATCTAATTTCACCTTTCCATTTATTTGCTTACTGGAAGATTGATTCCTAGAGGAAGGCTGAGTCCAGAGTGTCTGAACTCAGTGACAGCTTCCCACGTGAAGGTCAAGTGTTGTCTGCAGCCCCTGTGGAATCCTGGTTGCCAACGTCCGTCCTTCCACTTAGAGCAGTTCTTGTGCAGTCTTTGATGCAAGGTAATTTTGGAAGAATTGCCTCAAGGGCATTCAATGGTGATGACTACTGATTGTGGTCTGGGTAGGTGGAAAGGATACTCATAGGGACCAAGTGCAGTGACCTTAGCTCCCATAGTTATTCATTATTGGAACATGGTTTTCAAAGTAAGTCAAATGAAACTGAACAATGTTTGCAATAATCCATTACTGCCTGTGGGACAGGGAAGGGTTCTGGAAGGGACTGGGCTGGAGAACCCCGCAGGCTTGAGATAAGTTATGGGCTGGTGCTCCCTTGCCTATGGATTCTTTCAAAACAACGTCCCTACAACTTACTTAATTAGATGTCAGCTGGGTGGATTCTTTCTTCTCTGGCCACTCTTAAGGGACTCACGTACTGTTGGATTCAGAAAAGGGCTTCTACAAATTCAGGGACCCACCTTCCCTTACTGAGCTCTAACACTAAGAACCAGAGGACCAATGCTTTTATGAAGGTCAAATGACCTTTGAAAAGGGGGAACCTCCTTTTCTCCACAAATGACATTCTTTTCTTTTCCAAGGGGCGTGGGGCTCCCCAAGCTTGTGGCACACCCTGCCTTCAGTGGCTCGTCATGGCCTTTGTGTTAAAATCCACAATATTTAGCAAGCCAGTCTCCCCTCCCCCAGTCATCTAGCCCAGTCTAATTTCCTCTCTCACCCCTCCCCTGGTGCTCCTCACCGGCTTATTTAGGTCTAATCAGGTGTCTTAGTCGGTTTGGGCTGTCATCACAAAATACCATACTTGGGGTTTAGACACAGACATTTATTTCTCACAGGTCTGGAGGCTGGAAGTCCAAGATCAAGGTGTGGGCAGATGCAGTGTCTGGTGAAATCTCTCCCCTTGGCTTTTAGATGGCCCGACTCCTCGCTGCACCCTCACATGGCATCTCCTCTGCTTCTGTGAGGAGGGAAAGGGATGGGGTGTGTGTGTGTGTGTGTGTGTGTGTGTGTGTGTAGAGATGGCTCTCCTTATTGAGGCATGAATCCCATCATGGGAATTTCATCATGGCCTTCTGCCACATGAAGACACAGTAATAAGGGGTCACCAGATGCTGGCACCTTGACTGGGGACCTCACAGCCACCAGAACTGTGACACAGTCCATTTTTGTCCTCTATAGATTACCCAACCTGTGACATTTTGTTACAGCAACACAAACAGACTGAGACCTATGGAGAGGCTTCTCTTCCCACCCCTGTAGTGACTCCTTCTTTGCTAAATTCAGTGAGCATTTTTCAGTCCTCATCTTTGTGAAAGGACATTTTGCTGCAGTGGAGACTGGAGCTCAGATATTGTTGATGATCAGAGTTGGCGTGTCTCCCCAATTGATTTACAGTTGAGTGTTGGATACTGTTTTAAACCTGGGAGGAGCCTCCTAACCATCTTGATACAACCACTGATGTGACTACACTAGAGATAGACTCTTTCCACTTAATTCTACCCCTCTCGCTTTACTTCATGAGGATGAAAATATAATAATGCACCATGAATTCATTTAGGGAAGGATTGATATTTTATTTTATTTTTTTAAATATGTATTTATTTAAGCTACACCTACTGGAATGGGAAGGATTGATCTTTTATTTTACTTTGTTTTGTTTTTATTTATTTATTTGTTCTTTTTTGAGACAGAGTCTTCCTCTATTGCCCAGGCTGGAATGCAGTGGCACAATCTTGGCTCACCACAACCTCCACCTCCCGGGTTCAAGCAATTCTTGTGCATCAGCCTCCTGAGTAACTGGGATGACAGGCATATGCCATCACGCGTGGCTAATTTTTGTACTTTTAGTAGAGATAGGGTTTTGACATGTTGGGCAGCCTGGTCTCGAACTCCTGTACTCAAGTGATCCATCCGCCTCATCCTCCCAAATTCTAGGGATTACAGATGTGAGCCACTGCATCCAGCTGGAAGGATTGATATTTTATAACATAATTTATAATTACAGAAAACATGTGAGTCCACTAGAAATGAATAAATTTTGAAGATAATAAAATAGTTTCACTTATGGGGTCGGGCACGGTGGCTCACACCTGTAATCCCAGCACTTTAGGAGGCTGAGGTGGGCGTATCACAAGGTCAGGAGATAGAGACCATCCTGGCTAACACGATGAAACCCCATTTCTACTAAAAATACAAAAAAAAAAATTAGCCAGGCATGGTGGCGGGTGCCTGTCGTCCCAGTTACTCGGGAGGCTGAGGCAGGAGAATGGTGTGAACCCAGGAGGCGGAGCTTGCAGTGAGCCGGGATCACACCACAGCACTCCAGCCTGGGCGATAGAGCAAGACTCCGTCTCAAAAAAAAAAAAAGAAATAGTTTCACTTATGTTGTAATTTTGACATGGTTTGTTATAGGATGTGAAGATGTTAACACCACCACCCAGCTTAATTTTGGCATCTAAGACCCGAAAGGGTTGTGTCTATCAGCTGCACCCCTAGGTAGCCACATAACCTCGGGAAGGCCTCCGCCCCACTCCTCATACAGCAGGTATGAGAACAGCACTGCCTGTTGGGAAGCTTGACGGAGGCTATGGAGGTGCAGTGCTTAGCAGTGGGTCTCGTCCGGGAAGGTACCAGCAAATGTGAGATACTTTTATGATTTTATTTTATCCAAAAGAACGGGAATGAAAGGAGAGAGGAGGAAACAAGACTAATCAGGAGACATGAAGGTGTAGTGGTAAGGGGAGGAGTAAACAGGAATAAAGGCAGCGTGGAGCAGCTGAGTGGGGAGATGGCTTTCACCACTTCCCAGCATCTATTGCAGTTTCCACCCTCAAACATTTTGTAAGGACCGTTTATTCAAGGTAATGTTTGAACCCTGCTGAACCAGTGGCGTGGGTCTCTGAGAGAATAATTAATTAACTTGACCGTCTGGTTTGTGGATGCGTTTATTCTCATGTAAATCAACAACATCCTGGGATTGGGACACACTTTCTGGGCACTGCTGGCCAGTCCCAAAATGGAACATAAGGAAGTGATTCTTCTACTTCTTTTATTTTTGAAATCAGGTAGAACAAAGATTATTTTGTATAATAATTATTTTTTCTCCCACAATATAGTAAAAATATATATGCCATGGCTTTATGTGCAATTCATTTAATTTTTGATTGATGAAATTCCTAGCTCAAAATCTTATATGAGATTGAGAATTCTTCCAGAAATATGTTTAATTTCCTTGTGAAGACCGTCAGTGTGCTGGAATGAATGGGCAGAGAAAATAATGATTGATTTTTCAAATCTAAATGAGTGGGCCCACATAATGGCCAGTCTAGTTGAAAAAAAAAAAATAGCCATTGTAGCCAACTATGCAATGGATAACTAAGCTCTTCACCTGGTTCTCAGTTTGATTAATTTATATCATTTCTGTTCAGGTGTCATGCTCCCCTCCCTTGCAAGTTGAAACAATGAAATATCTCTTTGAACATATTCTGTTCCTTGACCAGTTCACGGACTGGGACTCAGTATTTCTCTCTGTTAGGGCCTGAGTAAGGCTTTACATAGATATACATTTGCTTCTTATCCCTGGAGAAATCACAGGCATCCATTTGCCAGATGCTATATGCATATAGTGACTCAGCAAATCCTCACTTACTGCTTGGGTTAGGCCCCCACATTGTTATACATACATATATGCATACATACATACACACCTGTGTGTGTGTAAGTGTGAGTGTGTGTCCTTTACAAATACTAGCTTATTTAGCTTGTGGTGTAGGTAGGGTACTATATTCATGCCCATTTTATACACAAGGAAATCTAGACATAGAAAATCATGTTATTTGCCCAATGACCAAACTCCCAAATCAAGGAAATAAAGGAACCTGGATTTAAGCCAGATTTCTGAGAAAAAATTTAGGACTCTTCTCACTTTTTCAACTATGTTCTGAAACTAGGCCTCATAAAACTTAAAAAATTAGCACCAGGTGGCCCTAGATAGGGTCCCACCCTGCCTCGATGGGGTCCCACTCAGATAGGGTCCCACCCTGCCAATTCCGGGAAACAACCTCATGGGGTCCCACCCTGCCAATTCCGGGGGTCCCACCTTGCCTCGAAGTTCCCAGAATTAACAACTCCTGGAAAGGACCTCATAAGGTCCTGCTCTGACCAATTAGAACAAGACACCTTGCTCAGGCCATAGCTAGACCCAATTATTTTGCGCCTTAAGCTTTGTTTGAATTTCGCGCCATAAGCTGTGTTTGAACTTGTGTTTGCCTATATAAACAGCATGTAACAAGCAGTCGGGGTCCCAGGGCCAACTTAGAGCTTGGGACCCTAGCGCGCTAGTAATAAATAACTCTCTGCTGTGAAACTCGTGTCGGTGATCCTTCGCGGCGACCCCTGCCCAGGAAGGAATCGACAGTTCGGTTCCAACAGTTCCAACCTTTGAAAACATAATCTAAACACATCCCAGTGTAACTGAAGAGCAGGTTAGTTGTTTGCCACTTGCAGAACCCAATTAAGAAGAGAGAAGTCTGGTATAAAGTGATTTACTTCCAATGCTAGCTTAGGGGAAGAAATACAGGAGTCCTGCTGTACCACTTCACTTTTCGAGCAGAAAGTGGCACTTTTGAAAGGTAGGGGAGGAAGCAAGGGTGCAGGGGTCCATGCTAGCTTCGGAGCCTTATCTGTCAGCTGGTTGAACCGGTGACTGCTAGTGCCTTTATGAGCAGGCTGTTGTCTCTTGAGGCAACTCTCTAGAGGGTATGCTTTGGTTTATAAATGGAGTGTGAACTCACGAGCTCCATCTTAAAGCACATAGTTAGATGAACTTGCCCTGTAGGGAGACTCTGATGAAGGGGATGTAAAAGGCCATATTTGCATTTCTAAGGGGCTAAGTAGGAAATGGGAAACTAGGAGAATGAAGAAAAAAGAGAAAAACAAATAATGAAGCTATATTGGAAAAATGGAGGTCCTCGGTCACACTAGTAGGCTCTCTTAAACAGCTTTATTGAGATGTCATTCACCCATTTAAGACATACAATCCAATGGATGTAAATATATTGAGAGTTGTACAGCCACCTTCACAATAAATTTTAAAATATTTTCATACCCCAAAAGGCACTCCACTCTCCTTGGCTGTTGCCCCTCCTCTGCAGCTTCTGGCAACCACAAATCTACTTTCTGTTTTGGACACTTCATATAAATGGAACCATACATTTTGATAGTTGTTCTCCATATAAACAATGTCCAGATGCTTGCCATTTAATCTATAAATTACCAGATACAATGTTACAAGTTGAATTTAGAGTCAAATACATTTGAATTCTGTGGAAGCCATTCAAGAAAATATCAAAGAAAATACAGAGCAGGAGAAGATTAAGCAAAGAGTCTTTTGGGAGAAATTGGTGTCTATGTGTGTGTGGGGGGGGAGGGGGGCAGGGCATATTAATATTCTATTTCCGCCCATGGAAACTAGGACGTAGATCACTATGAACTTACTCAGTGGGCTACACCCAAAGGCTAGAACAAACTTCTCTGCCACAGGATTAACATATGTTTTAACCAACCTGGGGGGCACATTCTCTCATAAGCTCTTTTGGAAAGCAAGGCTTTCTGTGGATGTGTTATCTTTCCAGTGTGCTGCAATGCCCGGGGAGAGGAAAAAGTTTTATAGCCATGCTCAGTGAGATGCAGAGAAACATCTTCCATTTCACGAATAGTACTAAGTCTTTTCTCTTACACATGCAATATGCATACACATTCATACGCCACAGTGAGGAAGAAATTCTCACAGCATTAATAAAATACAATTACTTCAGCAGCAATATACATCTACATTTGCCTATAATATGAAAGTGTTTTTTCTACTGAAAGATTTGCTTAATGTTTCTTCACCAGCAAATAAACCCTAATAAATCTCACTGCCTTATGAACCCTGGAGGTGAATAGGAGAAAATAATCCTTGGGGGAAAATTATCATTTTCAGAGAAAATCAGAGAAAAGTTTGATTCTTTTTGGGATATTTAATAGCGACATGAGCTGAGGAGGGGATCTCAGCAGTGATGCACTATGAAGCATAATAACACAACACAGTTACAGGTAACTCAGTTAAAGGCGGAAACAAATGGAAGTTTCTCTTTTTGAATATCAATTGTAGCCTGCTCTGCTACATTTCAAAAAACATCTTCAGAAAGTTTAACTTAACTCACTCTAAGACTTTACAGATTTATTGCGTGTTTTGAAGTCACACTCTGAGCTATAGAATTACCCAAAGCACAACTCTTCTTGGAAATGAAAATTCAAATGGGAAGAAAATGCAGGGTGAAGACATGGATATGGGTCTAAAATATCTACTTCTCTATGATCTTTTGATACATCTCTCAAGTGCTTTTTGGTGGATTGGGTTTAGAATGCATCAGCCAACTCCTGCTCAATAATCCATTTTTCCAGCCTGAAGTGTCTTAAATTAAGGAAGGACAAAGTCCCAGAGGTGGGGAGCAGGGGAACTTTGGCCTAGGACTTTGCATGAATCGATGAGGGTGCATCCTCCTCGCTGTCCTGCCCCTTGTGTTCTGTGTACCCTCAGGAGGTCAGGACCGGCCTTTCTGAGAGTGAGAATCTGTTCATTTGCCTTCCTACTGGATACCTGTCACCAGCATACAAACCAATGCGCTCTGAAGTGTGCCATCTTTCAGAACCTCCCTGACCGCACGTTCCCTGGAGGGCTCGCTGTCTTCAGAGTCAGGCTTGTCTCCTGCTGCCGCCTCCACTGCTCTCCCAGTCACTCTGTAACCCACTCCCTCTGCCTGCGGCCCCCACCACACCCCTCAAAGTGGTCAAGGTTGTCCTGTTGCTTCATTCCATGGAAGGTTGGCTATCTTCATTTTATTAGCCTCTTTTGGCCTCTCACTCTATGAAAATCACTAGCATTCTGTGCCAGGGATGGAGCTGGCATCTCCAGGCTTGGAATAGACCTGCCAAAGCTCAGCCAGGTGTCCTGAGGAGCCTTGGGACAGGGGACACTGTAGCCTTGTGGTGGGAGCACAGCTGAGGCCCCCTTGGCCACCCTTTGCCACGATCAGACAGAAAGCAGCTTTTGGACACATTTGATTTCCCAGAAAAAGCAAGGCCAGTATTTAGCCCAGGCTCTTCTTTTTTACAATTTCCTCTGAAATTCAGATGCCTGTCAACATCGTGGACAGATGTATTCCTCCCCAGTTAATAGTGGTGTGTCCCTGTAGCAAACCCAATACAAAAATTGCCCTCTTTTGTAGGGGGGCTTTTTACCCTCCAGTTTTTTGCATAATTTTTGTGCAAGATGGCAACATACTTTAGTTCAGTTCTGATTTATTCCCAACATCATCAGTGCACCAAATTTTTTGTATCTCAAGAAGGGACCATTTAGAGGATGCTTATCACCAGTTAAAGTGACAATGTCACAACCAAAGCACATATTGTAAGAAATCAAACAATGGCCTCTAAGTTCCATTTCTACTCAGGGATGAACAAATCAACATCAATCTTGGCAACACAGTTGCCACTGATGGTACCTTACTTTTCTATCATGACATGGCAATCAAGAGCAAATATACAATTTATTCTTATTTTAGGTTTTATGGTTAGAACAGGAAGACACCTAGACATGAGCAAGAGGGGAAAGCCCCTGAGAAAAGGTAGGTGTGGAAAATCTCACACCCCAGATATTACCTGAGTCCTGCATGCTAGATATGCGCAGAGGCGGGGGAATACTTAGGCAGAGGGGAATGCCCCTTAACACGCCCAGCATTCGCTCACCCTGTAGTTAACTTTTCCAGATGTCACCAGGTACATGCCAATAGGGAGGGAAGAGGGCAAAGGAGAAATTCTTAAGAGATACACAGCTGTAGTTAGTATAGATCTGAGTGCTATGCAGCCTTCCTGGGGTAGCGTCAATGAGCAATGGAGCCAGAGGGTAGAATTCATATCTGATATGGTTTAGCTGTGTCCCCACTCAAATCTCATCTTGAATTATAGCTCCCATAATTCCATGTGTTGTGGGAGGGACCCAGTGGGAGATCATTGAATCATGGGGGCAGTTTCCCCCATACTGTTCTCATGGTAGTGAGTAAGTCTCATGAGATACAATGGTTTTATAACAGAAAACCTTTTAGGCTTGGCTCTCATTCTCTCTTGTCTGCCCACGTGTAAGATGTGCATTTCACCTTCCACCATGATTATGAGGCCTCCTCAGTCACGTGGAACTGTGAGTCCACTTAACCTCTTTTTCTTTATAAATTACCCAGTTTCGGGTATGTCTTTATCAGCAGCATGAAAACTGATTAATACAGTATCCAACGCCAGGACCATGCATGCACATCAACTAATACTAAGGGAAGGTCCCACAAGCCTAGAGTGAGGCTAGGACTTAAGGCAGGAGCAAGAAATCTAGACAAGGAAAAAAGGCAGAGACTTAAGACAGAGGTGGAAACTTCAGGAAAGAGTTTGACATCATAGTAACCCAATGCAGAACTCTTAGAGAGCTGTTGGCTCCCTCCCTTTCGACAGCCCGCTCTGCCTTATCTTTCAGGGTATACTGTCTCTCTATGTAAACTCTCTGCTTTCTACCTTCCTTCCATAAATTTTCTACCTTCCTTCCATAAATTCTTTTTCGGCTAAATTAGTCACTTAGCAGAATTCTTTCTCCCGAGTAAGACTAAGATCTGAGGATTCCTGCACTTCCTGATAGCATTGCATTCATTAATATAGTAACACAGGAGTGGTGACATCATTCTAACCTGTTTATCAGTCTAGTTAATCTTTTAATATATTGCAATCTGTTCATGGAAAAGTTTTTTGTATAATTTCAACTTTTATTTGAGATTTGGAGGTACATAAGCAGATTTGTTACATCAGTAAATTAGCCTCTTTTGGCCTCTCACCCTGTGAAAATTGCGTGACACTGAGGTTTGAGGCACAAATGATCTCATTACCCAGGTAGTGAGCTTAGTACCCCACAGGTAGTTTTTCAGCCCCTGCCTTCCTCCCTCTCTCCCCGCCCTAGTAGTTGCCAGTGTGTCTTTTGTTGCCATCTTTACATCCATGTGTTGAACTACTTTCTTCATTAAACATCTTGATTCATAGCTACCCATTCTGCTTCCAGTAAAGCAGAAAGTTTTATTTGGTTAATATGAACCAAATAGGTTAAAAAGAACTCATGACGATCAGACTTGATTAGCTGACCATTTGATTATCTGACCATTTATTCCACTTGGATCTCCCACCTCTAGGTCAGGAAGAGCCTCTGGGTGACTATGTGAATACCCAGGGGGCTTCAGTGTTCGGTATCACTGAGCAGCAGCTGGGGGCAGGAAGCATAGAAGAATGTGCAGCAAAATGTGAGGAGGAGGAAGAATTCACCTGCCGGTATTTGCATTGTCATTGCACCTACGCAGGAATCTGTCGTTTGGATGGCAAGTTATTTATTCACAAATGTATTAATGATTTAAGAGGAAAGAGGAATTTGTGGAGTCAGAGTTTGGAACTGTATTTGCTCACAGTATCTGAAGCCATACTAACAGTTTCTTATTAAGGTTTATTGGAGTCTCCTTTAGAAAAATACCCCAAAAGGAAGTTATTTATTTTTACAGTGGACATAAACATTAGCAGCTATTGTTCTGAGGTCTAGTTTTTAATATCATCATTATCAGTAAATGTTTGTTGAAGATCATGTGAATGAAAGTGTCCTAGATAGATCTGAGCAGTGACTTATAGCTACAAGATCCAGTGCCTGCCCTTTAATATTTAAGGTGTAGTCAAAGAAACTGGATATAATGTTAAAAAAAAAAGAAAAGAAAAGAAAAGAAAAGACAGCCCAAGTGAGGTACAGGCATAATCAATGCATGCTCTACCCAGATCCAGAGGAAAGAACAGTGCCTAAGGTTGAGGCAGCTAGAGGAGGTTCAGGGAGGGGGTGGGAGCTGAGCTGGGTTTGGAGTTGAGAGAGCTCTTGACAAGCACCAGGAAGGCGGGGGATGATGCGGCCCTGCACCTTCTGAGGGGGACCATTAAGAGATCAAGTTGGCTAAAGCAGAGGCTTTGTGTAGGTGATGGGCCTGGGAAGGTAGCTATGGATGCCAGACTAAGCACCCACAGCAGGACCATGTGGATGGGGATGGGAGGGGTCAGGGGCCAGTGCGGGGTGGAATGTGGAGCAGAGGTTCAGGAGAAGTGATCAGAGTAGGGAGGTCGTGGAGACGAGCCTCCAGAACTGGGAGACAATAAACTTATGTCATTGAAGCCATGCAGTTTATGACCCTCTGTTATTGCTGCCCTAACAAATGGATACAGGTAGCCATTTAGATTGTCTGCTGAGCCCACTCACTAATGATCTGATAAATATATACTCATGTCTGTCCCTCTGGGTATTTGTGATAGTTTTTCTGAGTTATATGTCATAAAATAGGATAGCTGCATCATCTGGTATTCGTATGACCAATCTCACTAAATAATGACAGATTTCTCTTCAGAATCACTCTATCAGTTCACGCTTCCTCCATAATGCAGGACAATTGTCCATTCCCCAGCTTCCTGAGCATTTTCAGATTTGTCAGATTTTTGTCATGTGCTTTTAGTATGCCCTGCATTTCCCCTGTCTGGAAATTACCTATTCATAACCACGAAGTTTTCTAATTGAAGTGTAGGATGATTCTCTTAATAATCAGAAGCTGTACCATAAGTACTTTCCTCCACTCTTTGCTCTTTTTAATCTTTTATGCGATTCTTTGATAAGTGGAAACTTTTATTATTCTTTGAAAAATAGAAACTTTTATTAATATTTTCCTTCAGAAAACAATGCATTAATCATTTGTATAGCCTACGAATAGAAATATATAGCTTAGGAATTATCTTCCTATTCTGAAATCAGGGCTAACCCCACCAAATCTTCTTCAAAATGTTTAAGATATGCTTTACACATTTAAGTCTCTGATTCATGTAGAATTTTTCTGTGTGGTGTGAAATAAGGATAATATTTGTTTCCCATGCTTCGGACATATTTATTGTCCGATCCATTTTTCCCATTGGGGTGCAATGCCAGGGCCATCACATATCATATTTTCATGGATTCATATTTCTATTGCCAAGCTTTTGATTTTGTTCCATTCATCTATTCTTCTATCCATGAACCAAAGTCACCTAGCCTTAATCATGTTAGAGCTACAATAATATATAGTAATGCATTTTTTAGGATTATATGTAAATTTTAAATGCTGTTTAAGTTTCACAAAAGTTCCTATAAGAATTCTGATCAGAATTGTATTGAATTCGATTTATTTCGGAAGAACTGACATCATTTAACAGCCATAAGTCTATTGCCCAGCAAGGATGTATTAGTCCATTCTCACACCATCATAAAGAAATACCTCAGACTGGGGAATGTATAAAGAAAAGCAGTTTAATTGGCTCATGGTTCCACATGCTGTACAGGAAGCATGGCTGGGGAGGCCTCAGGAAACTTAAAATCGTGGTGGAAGGCAAAGGGGAAGCAGGCACATCTTCACATGGCTGGAGTAGACGGAAGAGAGATGTGGGGAAGTGCTACACACTTTTAAACCACTAGATCTCCTGAGAACTCACTCACTATCATGAGAACAGCACCAAAGGGGAAATCTGCCCCGTTATCCAGTCACCTCCCACAAGGCACTGCCTCCATCATTGAGGATTACCATTCAACGTGAGATTTTGGTGGGGACAAAGGTCCAAACCACACCAAAGGATGTATTGGAGAGTTGCTCAAAATTGTGTTATTTAGCCAGACACACTGGCTTGATCCCATATTCCCAGCAACTCAGGAGGCTGAGGTGGTAGAGTTGCTGGAACCTAAGAGTTCAAGTCCAGCCTGGGTAATATACTAAGAACTCATTTCATAAAAAAGTGATTATTGCCTGACAATTTAATATGGATGTTTAAAAATACTATTCCAAAACAATTTTGAAAAAGAAAATCCTTTCTAACACATAAGTAGTTTAGTTTAAAAATATTTAATAGCCATTTTATATAAAAAATTTGAGAATTACATATTATGTAAAAAAATTGATTATTATAGAATATACATATGTGTGTCAATATTTGTTGTTCATATCTGGCTTTAATATATCCCTGGTTATTTCTGAAGTTTTATTTTTACCATGCTCTTATTACTTCTTAGTTGCTCACAGAAATGTATATACCTTTCTTCAAAGTCACATTTTGTAGTTATAAAAGTTGGAATTATCAACTTTAATCCATTCATCTCTGTGGACCCAAATATGCTTTATAAAAATATTGCCACTATATATGCTAGAATTGCAATGTGTAGAACAACTACTATTAGAGAATACTGTCAGTTATAAACTTGTCACGTAAATATATAAATATTATACTTTACATTTTTCCAGAGTATCAATCTTTTGGTCTTGTTTCACAGACCCTGTCTTCAGCAAGCATGTGTATCAGACAACTCACCAAATAATAATTTATATTGTGATTCTTTTGCCAAATGTAGGTGCTACAAAATTCAAAGATTTCTTATGTTCCTTCAATTTTGATACAGGATACAAATTTATTTAATTAAATGTAGGAACACCATCAAGTGATTGTTCTCACAAGATATTCCACAAGTATGAATTTTAATATTGAAATTTGTACATCATTATTTTTAGATACTTAATACTACATATTTTCTAAAATGTTGCTTAACGTATATGGATTTGTTATTAATTTTTTGAAAAAATGTTTTAAAAATTTGGTTTTTTCTTTCCTTTTTATTTTACCATATAAAAAAGCAAATAGATTTCATGCTATTATTCCCAACTCCTGTTAAGGAAACAAAGTTAAATAATTCTCTTATGTATGAAAAAATACAAAGAGCAAGTAGCGTCTACATTTTTTATTACCAGCCAACAGGCTTTATGTTGGATGAATATTTCCCAAACTGTGTTTCATAAAGCAGTAATTCCCCATAATATCTATTTCAAAAAATACAAATTTTTGCAATATATCTTTGCCAATTTTTGAATAAACAAATATAAAGGCATGTATGAGGTATTTTAAGAAGTTGTGCACTATTTCTCGGAAATTCAGGAAGCTGCTTACCACATCACTTGGTATATAAATGCATTGACATTTAGCCAAGGTGGCATTTTTCATAAGGAACCCGTGGTGGACATGTGTGTTGTCAAGTCTTTCAACGTATGATTACAAATGCATGTGTTTCTTTCTGTATATGGCTTTTAAATATTCACAATAAAGTATAAAGTATAAAAGTAACATATCTTTTTGTGTGTTAAGAAGTTTAAAGTTCCATGTTGACACAGTCAGAATGATTTTGTACATCAGTTAATTTACCAGTGAGATGTTTTGTTGTTTTCAATAATCCAAACATAAACTTTAGTATTAATGTTAATGCTCTGTCAGTGGATTTTAAAGAAGTGTTCATGAGCAAAAGAAAGAGATGTTTACAATACATAATAGATCTCATTGTTATTTTATTTTTTTGTGGCGGAGTCTCGCCCTGTTGTCCAGGTTGAAGTGCAATGGCGCGATCTCAGCTCACTGCAATCTCCGCCTCCCGGGTTCAAGTGATGCTCCTGCCTCAGCCTCCCAAGTAGCTGGGACTACAGGCATGCGCCACCACACCCGGCTTATTTTTTGGATCTTTAGTAGAGACAGGGTTTCACCATGTTAGCAAGGATGGTCTCAAACTCCTGACCTCAAGTGATCTGCCTGCCTCGGCCTCCCAAAATGCTGGGATTACAGGCATGAGCCATGGTGCCCAGCCTCATTGTTATTTTTAACATTTATCTTCTTGATAGTAGAAATGTTTTTGATACATACAGCAATAATTTGTTCTTACAGAAATTGATACCTATTTCATATATGGAATAGTTTCCAAGCCTGCAACTTTTGGGTCAGTGCACTATTCAAGGGCTCATAGAAGATCTGATTTACAAATATGAAATCCCATAGAATAGTGCCTAAACCTAAAGGACCCACTTTATGGTAAAAAGAAGTGTAGCAGTGAACATATGGCATAAAAAACCAGGACATTGGCACATAATCTTCAGCAACCAGTCCAGAAAACCAGATAAGCTCTGTTACCAATCAGCCCAAACGGGTCAGGACTTAATTAAGAACTTCCAGCTTCCTTAATTTTTGCCACCTTTATAACTCTGGACAACTAGACAAAGCCAAATATGCTCCCCAAACCACATAGGATTCTAATTAGCCCATCTCCAGCTACCCTGGGCCAACAACCTCTTATCAGAGGGTACCTGAAATCTTCCCTGTTTGTCTACTACAAAAATTTCCCGTTCCTCTGCCTGCCATTGAGTCTTTGCCAACTTTAGGGATTCTAGTGATGTTGGCGGCCTCCTCTGCTATAAAAA